GTCTCTCAACCTAACCTTAGGCCAAAGTGGACATAGTCACCTTACCTCCACTGCTTAGGTACACCTATTCCTTAAGTAACTTCTGTTCCTTAGGTATATCCTAATCATTGGATATGCCTTGGACATGGTCTCGCATGCCCGCCTAGTCTACCATATAACCTCTTAGTCTTATGTATGGGCGTAGACTTGGGCTGCCATAGCTCTATAACGTAGAGTCGTTCCAGTGCTGTACGACAGAACTTGATAGAACACGATGCAGATATCGTGGCTGCGCATGACGCCAAGGGTTTTCTTTTGTATTAGAGATCAGGGAGGATTTTCTTTTATATAAGTGAGTATGCCCCCTTATATTTTATGTTCTTTATGCAATCTGGTAATCTCTCTTGGACACCCTTTTTTGCGTACAAGGGAATTATCTTATCCACCACGATACCTTCTCTTTGGCCCGACTGGGGTCAAAGTTTCTCCTCATCATCTCCATCATGGGGTCATCACACCCTCTCGTTCCGCAACCTCCTACACAGCCTGACGGGGCTTAGCAGGGTCAGCTATTACCTATCTTTCAGCCTCAGGGCCCCCCCTCGGTTAAAGGCTCACAAAGTGGCACTACCTCAACCATACGATACTCAGCAGACGACGATGAAGGTGCCAATGGTGCCTTCATGCATGTGTTTGAAGAGTTGGCAGAGGTACAGCAGGTTGAGTCACCGCTCAACTTTGCAAAAGCATTTCCCATTATGATCCACATGGTGCAAACTTTGCATGAAGACTACAGGAAGGCGACTGATAGGCTAACCCAGCACATCACTGCCCTTACTGAAGAGTTGGATGCCCTTCGCGCCTCCACTTTATCTCAGCCTGCTCCTACCACTGCCCCACTGGCACCTCTTACCACTGACACTACAGAGCAGCCCTCTGTCCCTCCCGTACCCCCTACCCTTCCCCATACCCAGCCTCCTGACTTGGCAGCCCCTCCCTCTTGGGCTACTGTCACTTGGAGGGCAAGGAAGCCTTCTCAGAAACCTACAAAGCCTGGTTCTAAGCCAGCCAAATCCTCCTCTACCCTGGCTAGGCCCCTTACCGAAAAGAAAAAGGGCCTCCCCAGGTGCGACAGTCAGCTGATTATCAAGCGAGATGCCACCCCCCTTACTATCACTGTTGTACAGTTATGCGACAGCATTAACCAGGCTTTGGCCTCTACTTTTATTCAGTCTGTCTCCTTCTAGGATGAACATGTCACTCTCACCACCATGGATACGGTTAGAGCCACTACTGTCAACAGCAAAGTTGGCATTTTCTTGCAACTTATTCCTGGTGCCTCTACCGTCCACCTTGACACACCTGCCACCCAGCTTCTGGTACATGGTATTGCTACCTCCACCTCTATGGCATCACTTGCCCAAGAACTCTCAACATTTAACTCAGCCTTATCTCTTACCGAGCAGCCTAGGTGGCTTACCTCTGATCTAGTACACATTGGCAAACTCACCTCAACCGTAGTTATTTCCATCAGGGGACCCAAGGCTCCTTCCTTCATTGGCAAACGCCTCTCTACCTTCTCCAATACCTACCGAACTGAGCTCCGTCTACCCTTCAACAAATACACTCAGTATACCAACTGCCACAAGTTTGGTCACTATAGCATCAAGTGCATCCTGCCTGCCTCCTGCCACTAATGCCTCCTCCCCCACCCTACTGGAGATCACTCCTGCTCAACTGCTACCTGCCATCTTTGCAGCCGCCCCTACAGCCATGCCATACTCAGATGTGTGAACTGTGATGGCCCACACGAATCCCACTCACCTGTTTGCCCTTCTCGCCCCCATCCAGATACCCAAGAATCTGAGGCCTCAGAGGACCATGTAGAAGACGTAGACATGGTTGGCTTGACATAGGTTGGGATACCTATAAGGATAAAGCCCTAGTGGTGTCTTGGGTTGGCTATTATGGTGCAAGGAGTGTAGCTGTTAGGCCTACCTTGACTGATTGCTAAGGGGAAACTGGCTTCATACCACTCCTCTGTCATGGCCCTTTCAAGGGACAGTACTAAAACATTTTCCTGGGTGCCGGGTGGGGTTGATTTTGGTGGATTTACTTTGTTATGATATTATGAGGATTTTAGGTGCAAGGCTGGGGCAATGCTGCCAGGGGTAGTGATTTATTGATTGTGCTGGGATTTCCGTGGCCCAGCTAGGTGGAGCAGATAGGTGCCGAACTATTGATGGACTTGTACTTTAGCTTTGGTATTGGTGCTTGCTCACCAGAGTGGTTAACAGTATAGAGATGGAGGATCAGTACCTCGTATTTAGTTACCGGTTTTTAGTAGGGGTAGCAGGGCCCCAGTCCCAGCGGTGGATCCCAGCCGGCGTTAAGCTCCTGTCAGCGGGGGGCTCAATCATAAGTGATGTTTTGGCGCAATGAGTATAAATAAACTTAGATATTATTTGGACACCCTTTCTTACGTTCCAAGGATCCACCTAAACTCCACGTTGTCCTTGACTTTATCTCACAATAATTTCAGGTTTTTGTTTGTGAAGGCATCTTTACCTTCGCTTACATTTATTAATCTCGGAGGGCTTTGTCCTTTCCTTGTTGTCTTTCGGTTCTTCGTTTCCGTCGTTCGTCGTCTACGGTCGGTCGCTTCAATGTCTAAGCGAGGTTCTTTCCTTTCGGCGGGCAAGGTCACTGCAGCCTTGTCTTCCTTGTCGGTGTCAGTGGATGAGGCTTCTCTTCTTCAGAAGGAGGTCTCCCGCCTTCGCCACCATGTCTCTGTCCTCTCCCGTTGTCTTGATCACTCACAGCTACAGTGTATGCCCCTAGCATTGGCTAGGTGTCCGCCCTCCCCTTCGTTCGGCAGAATTGATCAGGATCTGGCACCTCCCTGTGGGGTTGTGGCTGAGGAAGAGGAGGTGGCGGTAGTGCAGCTGCCCACAGTGGCGTCCTTCCCTTCAGGGATGCAGGTGCCTGAGCCATTCGTGGCTGAGCCCGCGGTGGTGGCTAACCCTGCCCATGTAGTGTCTGGAGTGCCTGGTACGCCTTGGTTTGCGGATTTGTTTGTCGGTTCTTCCTCTCCCCTGGCCATGTCGGATGGTCCCCCTTTCAAGTCCCCTGAGGGCTCTATTGTGTTGGTGGATTCGATCGTTATGGCATTGATGGAAACTATTTATAGTCCCGAGCTCCCACCCAGCTTTTGTTGGTCAGGGCATTGGGCCTTGTCAGTGCCCCCTGTGGTGCGGCGAGTGATAAGCTCCCCTCCTGAGCGTAGGGAGAATGTTGTTGAGACTCCGGTCTCTATGGCAGACTTCCTTGTATTAAGGGTACCATGGCAGCAGGCTAGGAAGCAGGCACTAGTAGAGGAGGCGGCAGTGCAGGAGGATGAGAAACTGGTGCCAGGGTGTCCTGGTGACAACTCTGGTGGTAAGAGGCGTCGGCAAAGATGGCAAGCACAGAGGGACCATGGTTAATGAGGCCTTGGTGTGGGAATTTGCTATTGTGGGGGATTGGTTTACGGGACGGTATTCAGACCGGATTTGATATTTTTTGATTTGTTTTATTTTTTGGGATGGTCGCGGGCCGTAACTACCTTTCCCTCACTTGGTAGGACTAAGGGCTTCAGTCACTCTATTCCTGTCGGGTTGGATGTCGGTTTGTTGGTCCAGGCAGGGAAGACAGGGGTCAATGATGGGTTCTGTACTTAGCTTTCGTGTTTGCTTGCTCGCCAAGGTTTTGATGGTTGGGGCTTAGAGGCTTTGGTGCTTTGTGTAGTAGTTGTTATTTGGAGGAGTGCGCCAGTGTAGTGTGGAGACCCCAGCCCCAGACTGTTCACTTTGGTGGCAGTTCTGGTCCGCCCGTGGTCCGCTAGATGCCCGCCCAGCCTTATGCCTGGTATATAATAGGATAATCACTTGACCATATGCCATGTTTTGGCGCGGCGTGCATAAATAAAATTAGATTCAATTTAGACACCTGCACCTAGGAATTACACTCTCTACTTTCTGGCGTCCTCTAGAACCCCTGAACCCTGACCCTGAACCTCTGAACCGCGAACCTTGTACAACTCGCTTCGGTTGTGCCCCCGCCCCTAGACCTCATCTCCCAACCCTCAGACCCTGTCCATTACACCATAACGGGACAAAGAGTACTTGCAGAAACCCGCCCCGCCCCGCCCCGCCCCACCCTGTAACAAATACTAGTCAGATGCACAGGATGCACAGGATGCTAGCTTTTATTTTTGCTGATATAACCTCATAGAGGAGTTTTTGGTATAAGTCTGACTACTTAAAGATTATACAAGAACTCTCCTACCCTGACACTATCAACATCCTCTTGAGAGACGTTAATTCAAATGAGCCAGAACCTAACGATATTAAGTTTTACTGTTTACTTTTATTCTTTACATTTTACAAGAGCTGTGTTCGAGAGATTCCAAGTTTGGTGTGATCACATCCTTAGAAACTATCTACCTAAGAGAACCCTCTTTACAAGTAGCCTTACAGGAAAGAACTGAAACAGGTGTCAAGAAGAGGCAGTAGTCATCCAGTAAAGGACATGGTGCCAAAAGGAGTCGAGCTCTCCAAGCAGTTTTTGGGTTGGGTCTAAAGCAGTCATTCCTGAAAGTAAGGATAGGTAGGAGCAAGCCTACCACCAGTTTGTGATTGCATCAGGGGGAGAAGCTCACGGCTACTATGATGGCAAACTAGGACAAATGAGGCCTTGGCCAAGGCTAGGTATCCCATAAAGTATGGAGATGTATCTATAGTAGGAGTGAGCTAATAGCCCAGCCACCATACCTGGAAACCTGGAAAGAAAACCATGCTATTGAGATTAACAGGCAAAGTACAAATAGGACATCCATCCCTGGACATATGCCTGTAGAGCAACTTAGTCTTGGAAACAGAAAAGGTAACCCCCAACCTCCACTCTACCCCCTCAAGTAAATGAAAATAAAACTGAAGGGAGCGAACATTAAAACGGTAGGAAGAAGAAGTACCAGTAACAGAAAAATCATCCACATAAGAAACTATAAGACCTCTCAGAATAACTTGGTCCAGAGAAGAAACATACATAGCAAACAAGAATGCAGAAATGGATGACCCCTGGAGGGTGTCCACTGAAACAGCTAAGAACATATCTGGGACCCCCTAAAAAACCAGGCAGCACGTCTGCTGAGACAGAAACGAAGACATCCAGGCTACCAAGTACGGTGAAGTATGGGCACACCTGAGGATAGAAGCAAGCTGGTTCCTGTTGACATTGTCAAAACTGCCTTTGATGTCAAGAAACAATAAGGAAACACACAGGCCCTTCACTTGAAATAGCTTGACCTTATTGGAAACAGTGGAAATTGCATCTCAGCAGCTTAGGCCAGCCAGTGATCTATATTGATGCAGATTGAGCAAGCCCTTGGAGCAGGCCAGAGCCACCTGGTAGAGAGCCACAATCCTTTCAAGGATCCTGGATACAGTCTCAAGCTAGACTATAATCTGGAAAGAGGACGGGGAGGAGTAATCAGGCTTCCGTAACTTGCCTCACTCAAGTACTTGTAACTTGTACTTGTACCTCGCATGTCTTTGAACCCTGTGACCTCACTCACCCGTTCAGTACTACCGTGCCGGTACCGTAGTACACACATACACACATACACCACGAGCTCACCGGACGAAGAGCATAAGTTAGGCATATCATACCTGTATGGTACGGTATCAACTGGTAAGCCCCCGCCATTGGCCGTATTGATCAATATGCTTGAGTTTATCACTTTTAAAGTCGACTTGGGAGGGAATAAATCAATCCCCCCACTCGCCCAAGCTTGGCTGGTACCCAGCGTTGAAAGCTCTCGCAGGGTAAGGCGTTCTTCCCCTCCTTTCCGGGCGATGGCGGTTGGTCGGGACGGTGGGTGTTACCCTACGAGTAGACTACCGTACCGCACTAGCACATCTCGCCCCATGAAGGGTGGACACTCACGGGGGTACTGTAAAAAATTAAAAAAATTAAAAAGTAGCACGGAAAGTGTGTTACACTGTGCTCAGCGTGACCCGAGGGGGAAGAAATTACAGCCTCTGCAAGGTAAAAGAAAGTATTATAAGGGAAGACCGCCCAACTACCCGTGTTCCCATGAACCGCGGCAAGGTCAAATAGATCGCTTCTTGGCTCGTATAAATACCCGCTTTACCTTCCCCACTCACATTGGATTCAGAGGCAGGAACAACGGGCGGATCCCGACAACCACATTGTTGTTACAGAGCCAACATCAATCATACCAATCTCTCCTCGCTCTTTATTCGGAACCCCTCAAAAGACAAAAAATAGGAAATGCTATAATACACTACTACAACGTCGAATTTTCATGACTTCGAGCGCACAGAGAGCTTGAGGAAGCTTGATCAATCCATCCATCCGTCCACTAACCGAAAGAGTATAAAGAAGGAATAAGAAGGAAAAAAATCAGCCTACCCGTGCAAGAAAGAGTAAGGAAAAAAAAGAAAGAAAAAAGATGAATGCCAATGCATGCATGCATCACAACAAGAAATGTCCGAGTGAGTACTAGTAAAGAGAAAACCAGATGGAAAATAAAAAAGGCAGCAGAAGTCAAGCGACGGGAAAAAATGCTCACGAAAAACCCACAGATAATGCTATGTGAGAAAGTGAAAGGGTCCTTTTATTTTGGACAGAAGAAAATTGAACGAGGGAGGTAAGAAGAGAAAAGAGTATGCCAAGAAAAAACTAAGGCAGAATCCCGGCCCAGAAGAAAGAGAGAATACAAAAAAGAAGGTTATGAGAGACCGCAAAACGAGACCAAATAGAAACCCCAGGTAATTTTTTTTTTAAATTGATTCTTTTTCTCTCGTTCCCTTTTGGACTCCGAAACGGTTAACGCCGATCCACCCAACGTAGAAAACATAACATAATCCACATTCTACTTCATGACAACGTTTCTCGGAGAAGAGGGCGAGGGGGGGTGTGCGAGGCAAAGTAAGAAGAAAGTAGAGGTCGAATATTAAACTAAACTATCCACACTGGAATCTGTTACCACCCTGAACTCCAGCAGGGTAAGTCTTTAAACTCTGCCGCTTTGCCCAACCTCATGTCTTGACTCGCTTTGGTACTGAGCCATCCGAATTGTCCGATCCCGGACTCTTCCTCTTGCCATTCACATCAGAGTCGTCTCCGAAAATGTTCCGACCCGTTGACACTACAGGTGTCTGGAAATTCAACGGGCTGGGAAGCATATCCGGGTTACCGCCTGCACGGGATGCCGATGCCCCAAAACCGATGCCCCAATCCTGATAGAATGTGGAGGGTGAAGGTAGCAATCCGTTGTCGCAAAATCGGCTTGGTAGAGCAGAAATAGGAGTTTCCGATGGTGCACCTGTCGTGGCTGGAGGTGGTCGTGCGAATGGGTTGACCGGTCCACCACTAGCACCCGCGCTCCGAAGCGTAACGCTGGGCGAAGGTGGTGGAAGCACGACCGGATGGTTACCCTCACCTACACCCTTGACCGATTGACCAGCTGTAGTACCCGCAGATTCTCGCGGTGAAGACTCAGCTGTGGCATCGCCAGCATCAGAGTGTTCGCTGGGTATCTGCACCTTGAGCCTTGGTCGCACACCAGGCTTCCCCGGGTTCGACGCCATGCTGTTGGTTCGGGATGGTGGAGGTGGGACGGGTTCTACCGAGGATGGTTGGCCATTCACGCTACTGGACGTTGTTGCTGGCGTAGGTACGGAAGCGGGGACAGGCTTAGGAGACTGCTTCTCTAACTTAACCGAGCTGCTATTCACGCTGCCAGCGTTATTCGACCGGGCCACGGATCCAACATCTACCGAGTGAGACCGCGAGGGTTCCTGACCGAATCCGAAATGCTGCGCCAATAAGGACTCACTAGGTCCAATTGGCGTGAACATACTTCGCGATTTGGCAGGAGCGCGTTTTTCAATCGCAGGAGCAACTTGCTCATCGAGTGGCCTATTTGGAGGCGAGTTCTCCGACGATGGGACAGACCGCTCGGAAGGGAAGGCAGGTGGCATCGACTGTCTCCTGTTCGTCTCATTCATGTATGCCTGGGCCTGGGCTTGGGCCTGCGTCGTTTGAGGATATGGATACACGGGCATCTGATTCATGTTTGCTTGTTGCATAGGCATCACGGATTGCGGCTGAGGCGCGAAGACAGGTCCATTGGACATGTAGGCAAAGCCATTCTGTGCCGGAGGACCTTGCGAAACAGCGTAAGTGGATGGAGGCACCATATTCGAACTATTCCGCCGCTGGTTGCGGGAAGAAGGCCTCGACATCGGTTGTGGGGTCCCAACGCGACCCTGCATATAGGTTCCTTGTCCCCCCATCAGGGTGGATGGAGGGATGGGAGGTGATGCGGATGTTGAATGACGGTTCCCCATGTGTCCTAATGGTTGGAGATGATGAGGGATGGGATGGTCATTGGAAGATCGAGAACCCGGTCGAGAAGGAATATCCATATCATCATCGTCGTCGTCCATGGCATCCTTCTTTCCCTGAAAGTCGGCCGGACCTTTGTGTTCGTGGGGAGCTTCATACTAAGGCCAAAGTTGTTAGTGCGTGTTCTCCGCTCTCGGACGCGACAAAGAAGTAAAACATACGTAACTATGTCGGCCGATGACCTCCCGAATATCGCCCGAGCAGAACTCGTACAACTTTTTGTTGTGACCGAATATTATAACAGCAACATCTACCGAGCAAAGTACGGAAAGCTCATGAGCCTTCTTGAACAGACCACCTTTACGCTTTAAGAAGGTTCTGCGGACACTATTAGTACACAAAAACGCGGAAACGTAAAAGCGCAAGAGAAAGGGAAAAAAAAAAACACAGGGAACAAATGAGAAAACATACACGGATCGGTTTCGGTCATCTTTGATCGCTTTGATCTCAATCTGGGCACACATAGATATTAGCTAGTAACCTCCAATAATGGTAAACCCAAAGTTATTACCTTTCTTCGCCCCATCTCGTAGGGATACCGGGGTGTGAGGAAAAAAGGGAAAGAAAAAAAGAAGGGTTAGCGAAGAAGGTATTCAGAGATGCAGATAGTTTTGTATTCCTAAAAAGTGGTGTTCAAATTACTGGAGGTACCAGTGCAACAACGCAACGGTGCAAGTTGATCAATCAAGATGAAGACTCCAACAGCAACGTGGATTGAATCAGAAATAATGTGCAAACGCGGCAACGGCGGTGTTGGTTATGGATGGCGAAGTAGGGGACAGCGGAGGGAAAGGATGTGGATGAGGCGAAAAGATATAGGTTGGTGGATGAATGGATGAATGGGCAGATTGAAGGGTAACGGGGATAGTTATGTAAGAAGAATACCGTAGGGAAATAGTTGACTCGGAGGGAAACGTTGAAGGGTAAAAGAGAGAAGGGTTTGTATATATATATATATAGAAGTATATGGGACTGGGGGGGGGGGGGGGTGTTGATGGCCGGGGCGAGAAGGTGAAGAGAACAGGAAGTGAGAAGACGGTGGGGGAAGGGTCTCCTAGGCCACGGGCACCTGCTTCCTCCCTGTGCCGTCACAGCTCAAATCAAGCGTTCGGAGAGTATCTGACAGCGGATGGTGAGAGCGAGCACAATGGACGGGACCAGTAGAGCGAGATTACAGCGAAAAGGTTAGAGAGGAAGGAAAAGTGTGCGTGCGGTAAGTCTGTCGCTTGCTATTGAGAGAGACTCTCGGCTTTGGGGGGGGGGACATGCAACCTTTTTAAAATAGAAACCACCTGGATTGAATGTTCCCAAAAATAACTCTGTAAAATCTTCCTTAATTAGACCGAACGGGGTGAATTTACTCCCCTGCCTGATCGTACCATTCCCGATTAGGAAATATAACCCTTGTCACTTATCGGGCGAGTGTAAACGCTGTCAAATGCTCGACACTTCCAACGGTTTTTTGGCGACCTATGGCGGGTGCCGTAGCGATCCCAGAAGCCTGAGCGGAGGGAGACGCTCAACATCAGCACGATAACTCTACTCTCCTGTACTCGAGTACCGTATCATGGTGCCAGCCCTCGACTAATAATGAATGATCTCCCTTTGACATCAGCCCTCCGGCGATGCTTGTGAAGAGCCTCCTCCCCACCACACGTACACACCCGCACACATCCCAAAGAAACAAAAAGGAAAGAAGAAAGAATATGCTCGTATCATAACTTCCCAACCCCTCCCACCAACCGCTCGGGCCACCGTCGTCTAAAACAGGCGCGAATGCACGCTTCGCGCTCCATCACAGATGACAAGTCCGCTCATTGTACCTGTACAGTACCCTACATGCAGGTACCGAACCATTTTGACTCCCCTCCTCCACTTATCCATTTCCTCGCTCGGTGCTAGTCAATAAATTATTATGCATCATCAGCATTACCGGTACTCCACGCCCCGAGAACAACCCCACTCACCTCCCCAGTACAGTACTTATGCTCCGGCACGCCATTGCTGGTATACCGTATCATACCACAAGCCCTGAACTGCACTAGAGTACTGACATCTGTTGGCATCATCGAGGGATCATGTTTCTTGCCCATCATCTCTTCCCCCACACCCGCGCGCGCTCCGCACACCATTCCTTGCAACCCTAGCTGCCCCGCGAGCGTGCGGAGAATTTCCAACATGGCATTCTTCTGGAACATCGATATTTCCCCTCCTCCTCATCCTCTGGCGGCTTGCACACCATCTCGTATAAGGCGCATGTACTCGAGTACTAGTACAAGTGCTGGCGCAGCACCGTGCGAGCCCCACTCTGTTGCGAGTCTGATTCGGGTCCTCCCGGCCCCAATTACTGTACTCGAGTACCGGTATATATGTATCAATAACATGGTGTGATGTTATCAATCTACGGCATTCAAGCATCCCATTCTAATACCGGTATTGTTCGTTCCTTATTGGGTGCGGCTAGTGGATTCTTGTGTCTACAATCAAAAGAGGCTGGTACTGTGCAAGCACCATCACCGTCACGCTGGTAACACCTCGACCTTTCCAATCAATTCATAGGCCTCACGCTCCAGGTTATATATGCGCTCCTTTGCTATGCCATGTTCCCAACTCTTAAAGTGACTTGCAGCCCTTACTTTCCGTGTTCTTTAGCCTTTTCTTCCTGGGCGAGGTGGCTCCTGCAGTAGGAGGGATCTTTTCCTGGATCATTCCGGAGGATCTCCACCATTCGTCGACCACTGCATGCATGCACAGTGAATTGGGTTGGGGGCGGGGGGGGACCAGAACGAGGGGCTCGTCAGCCGAGTGTTTCAGCTTTTTCTTTCAATAGAACCTAGGAACGCGCCTCTCACGTTCGACTGTTTCCCCACTCCCGTTGCTGTTCAACCATCCTGACGACATGGGCACCTCCGCCTTTTTTAACCTTTCCGATGCTACTCGAGTATTGTATACCGGTAGCTCTGTGGCGTGAGAAAGTCCGTTGAACTCTCTACAGAGCTCGCCACCGTAAACGTTAATTTGCCGTAGCCGCCCATAAATTCCGGGGTACCAGCAGGACCGGTACCGGTATTGGACTATTGGGAAGAAGAAAAAAAAAAAGAGAGAGAGACAACTAAGTTACGTAATGACCACTGGCAATTTCCTCGCTTTTCAACAATTTTCGTCCTTGTGGGCTTAAGGTACCGTAATCTCGTGGTGCAGAAAATTGGGTTTCCGAACTTTTCACGCCTCCCCTCTGCCTAAAGTAATTCAACACGCCAAGCTCACCGAGCAGCATTTCCCGTATGATACCGGTGCACCCTTAAAGAGCCCTAGAAGTACTACCGGTGCCGGTAGTACCTGTATTAACGTCATTATTGTGCTCACAATCTTGTCCCACATTTCGGGCAATACCGTATGTGCAAGTAGAGTACCGTACAAGTACCGTACTCGTACATGATTCATAACCGCTGATGTCAAAGGTTCCACATATCATCGAAAAGAGCTGAAAACGGGTGCCACGGCCCTCGGCGCTCTGCCGTATGAAGGGAATGGAGGGCAACGGGAAAAGCTGTAATCTGATCTTCGCTACGGTACGGCACAATACCGGTATTGTAAGGCAAAGGGCGAGTAAATTATCGAGTACTCGAGTACAGTTCCCACAAATGGAGTAAAAGGAGTCTTGCTTGCAAATTGTCCACTACCTCTTCAGGCGATGTGGGCATCTAGGGCGACGGGATGATGATTCCTTTTGTGCGGAGCTCTCTGAACGAGTGCTGGGCAGGTACCGTACGAGTACTCGATTGCACTTTGTTTGCCCCGGCTCAGATATTCTAAAATTAGGCCAAGCTCAGGGTCTCGTCTGGCTGGCGAATCGGGATAACCCAGAGCCTCGGATGGCGGTAAGCCACTTCAGGGGTGTCCACCGATTTGTCCAACTGGCAAAGGGGGGGGGGGAGAGGCTTTCCTTTGAAGCCCTTTTCTCTGGCCCAAGGAAATTACCGTGGCGGTAATCCATGATCCACTTTTCCCGGTCGAGCGAGCGAGCCAGGTACAATACTGTACAGCACTATCATAGCACGGTACGGTATGTACGAGCACCGTACTAGTATTCTACTCGAGCACTCGCCCTCCCCCTTCATTCCCCCCCCTCAGCCTGCCATCATATCGCTTGGCTAGGGGGTGGGGAATCAGGCCCAATTTCCGCGGCTTCCTAATGGCCACAGTCATTTGCCCGGGGTGCATTCGTTCGATCACTCTTACCGGTACATTGCAGGGTTCCTTCGATATCATGGGGCGTGGAGAAAATGTCAACCCCACCCTATCATGTCGCATGAAGAGGTAGTGTAAGCCCGGTGATGCTACATGGTTGGCCGACAGCAGCTACATGTACCGGTGCTACCGGTGAGTGGGATCAAACCAATCAGCACTTCAGCTTTCAAGGGGGAACTTTGGATGCGGAGCAATCGACAACGGCAGCACATCCCACACACGATCGAGCGGAGCCACGGTATAATACCAGCACTGGTACCGGTACTCGAGTATGGTATCGGTGGGGAGCGAGAAACAATAACAAAACGATAAAGGAGACGGGACTGAGAATGGCGAGAGCCACCCCCTACCGCACCGCACCGTACGGCACAAGTAAGTAACCTTGACCCGTGCCTATGCCAAGATTTCGTGAGCCCACGAAAGGCTGTTTCTGCTTGGAAGATTTGGTTGGTTGGAACGCAATTTTGGCATGGGTCAGGAACGCCAGCTCTGTTTTACCAATCCCTTTGGGTGGGTGTTAACTGAATCATGGAGATCGCGGAGCTAGAGAGAGCGGGAGAAGAGTTCGCAAATTCAATTTGCCCATCGTTCCCTCATTTTTCACAATCCTTTTTATTATCGTTATTATTCGACCAAATTTCCCTATTCCTGTGATAATTGCTCCTTTATGGTTAGCAGCTTACAGTGGAGGAATCAGGGCTCTCTCCCTCTTTCTGCTATCGCTATTGGCACTTTTCTCACCCTCTCTCATGCTGTCAAGTCGAGCCTGTCGTCCTTGACTTGTCACGCTACCACTCCTCGCCACCACTGGTGGTTGTCGATTCTTTGGCGCATTGCTTTGTTGGCAGATTGCTCCTCCTCCACTCTCTACGACTCACCATCGTCGCTACTCCCTGCGAGCCCCCAGTCCCTCTTTGAGCGCGGTGTTAAGATAAGCCAGCAATAGGAATACCGACACAGCAGGCTGTCCACCAAATTCCTCGTTATTTCATTCCGTTCTGTTCTTGCTCCGCATTTCTCGTCTTGCCCTTTACTATTGAGCAGGAAACCCCCCCCCCCCACCCATCTCATCTCATCTCCTTTTTGGTGCTTCCTCTATCAAACTCCGCGGGCCCTGCAAAACCCCTAAGTTACATCTCGCTTGCTCGCTTGCGCACGTCGTCGATAAGCGCACCTACGACCCAACTGCAGGCTTTTTTTGTCGCGTCAGGGGAGAAAAGAGGAAATAAATAAATCAACTCTTCTGCCTTCTCAACCCTTCCTAATGCCCACCTTTCTGAATAAGGTCTTTAAACGGGACCACTCTGGATCCTCAAAGAAGATCGAACAGAGCACGCCTCCACCGCCTCAAGAAGTCAAACACCAGGACGCGTGGTTACGGACGGAGGTTGCTCCTGAGCAAGTTCAGGAGCTGCTGAGAGGATGCACGCAGGAGATCAAGTCAAGAGGTCTACCAACCACCACTCAATTCTGATATCCTCTGGTCGGATATTACTCCTACTAGAATTACATCGATAATTTTGCTCACATTTTGTTTCTGGGTAATTTGTTTTAGGCTTGTCAACACCTTTTCTATTATTGCCCTTCCGACCGAACTCGGATGCCAGTGCCAGAACCTTTATCCGAAATTTCTTCGATCCGGCAACGGGGCCGCTTCGCGGGCCCCACCTCCAGCAAGAATTACGATTGACTGAACCTGTGGTAATGATGGTTTACCTTTTAATGTTCTTTCTTATCTGACGTCCGGTGTGTAGGTTTTGTGCAGTACTCTCAAATGGTGTTGGAGTAGGCTACCTCGTGGTGTGGTAACCTGGGATGTGTATGAACTATTTCGTCGTGGAGAAGTTGGTACGGCGGTTCTTCTGTCGCTCCAGTCTTGGTGTTTGAACGATCCTAACCGTTTCTAGAATCGGGCATGGCCCGTGACTCGTTTGCGACCTTTATACCCATTAGCGCTGAATCCGAAGCTCGCTCAAAGATTATCTTTGACTTTTTTGATTTGATTTCGGCTATCGCAGCGCACGGAAAACATAATGGGCTTGGTGGTATGAAGCTTCCGAGGCTTGCGGGTTGGTGGGCCTTTGAGCATAGCGATATGGGATGGGGGTTCGAAGGTGGATACACTTCATGGTCCAGGTTTGTTCCATCCATCCAGATACCTGCTGCGTATTGACATCATGGTCAGGGCTGCCGATGCTACGATGCATCTGTTCTTTGCCTATCTTCGCTCCCTCTCTCCGGCAGATGGAACAAGGGGTGTTTCTGTGCTGCCGATCTCCCTGAAGGCGTTGATGGCCTCGGTCGACTATCCCCCTACGGCCCCCGTCCAGCTTCAATCGAGGACGGTTAGGGTGGTGATGACCGTTGCGACTGTTTCGCCAACCCCATTCTCACTTCTTCGTCGTGCAAGAAACTTTCAATTCCGAGAGAGTGATCCTGCCCTCCGCGCTCTTATGGATTACGAGGACCCTGTACAGGCTTTGACAGAAGAATGCAAGCGTGTTTTAAAATGTATATCTTCCACCAACCAGTCTTCCTCTGGGTTTAAGAGTGGGAGTGGACTTCAGGATCAGTCCTGGTCAAGGTTCCAGGATTTGGGTTTCTCCGGACTGCTAGAGGAGTCGGAGGGTTCAGCTGATGAAGACGGGTTATCTATGACTGGTTCCGAAACATTTCGCCGAAGGCGAGCTTCCACCCAACCCACTCCCTCGACCCCTCATCAGGAGCGCATCACGGATCTTGCTCGACCAACAACACCTTCCTGGGCCGACTTTATGGCTGGAGGATTTGGAGATCGTGACCAAGGCCCAAACCAGCCTGCCCCACTCCTTCTGCCGCCGGACAAGATGTTGCCTCCGATTGACAGCGGATCCCGAGTTCGTAGTTCCCAGTCAAACAGGAAAATCGCCGAGGATAATTTGGACCCCGGTGAATTAGCCAGCGTCTCACCATTAACTGTGGATGATGCGTTCTGGTGGGTCTGGATATCCAGTCTTGCAGGTGAAGAATCCACTGCTAGAAAGGCCGTGTTTGGGCGATGTGCTCTTGTCGAGACGGCGATCAAAGGCGGAAGGTGGCTTGTCGTTGAGGTTTGTCGCTCTCTGGCTGAGTTGGTCCTGTAGTATTAATCTAAGATTCGATGTAGGAAAAGGTTAAAGGTGCCGCCACTGCGGTCGAGGATGCAACCTATCTTCCGGCCAAGGAAAAGAAGAAGTCTCGAAGAGGAAAGCTTACCAGGCGGAAATCCGTTGGACGTGATGATATCCCGGTCGAGCAACCAAAGAAATTTGATCCGTCTGCAGGGTTGTTCAATAGAATTAATATTGGGCCTGATCAGACCGCTAGGATTCAAACAGCTGCGGCTGCATTGAGACAGCAGCAAGTACAACGGGAACGCAATCATTTGAGGCCCAGAGAAGATGGCTCCAAGCCTAATCCAAGGACCAACAGTGTTTTCACTTTGCAGCCGGTGATGCTCTCGGAGGCCACTCCCGCAATGAAGTGGGCAAATAGGTATGATAGAGACGCTATCCGGGAAGCGTATCTGAAGGGGCTCCCGATGCCAGAAAGGAAGGACTTGAGCCGTGTTGATACCGACAGGCCGTTGCCCCCTCCGCCACCGCATGAGGAGCCGGAGGGAGGACCGGAAAGGCTAGAGCGGCCCAAGCCAGAGCAGGTTGGACCAAAACCAGAACAATCAACTCAACCACCAACCCCTATTACAAATCAGGCTCATGTTGTACTGCCGTCTCCTAGTACTCCATCTGCCCCTAGGCCTATTCCCATGGCATTGCCATCTCCCCGTTCGAATGGGCGCGCATCACCAGCATTTGACAATCGTTCTCAAACCATCCCTGGCAGTCCCAAATCACAACCTTCAGCAAACTCGACGCCCGAGAAGTCCAAAAAGCCAAAGGCTTCACGCATCAGGCATTTCTTTAGTAGCAAAAAGGCAGACCCAACTAGCCTAGTAGGCCGAAGAATATCCCAACTTGAACCACCCAGCGGTGGGGGCTTGGGCCTTCCTGCCCAAAGCGCTAATCGCAGATTATCCGTTGGCCAGAAGAATCATATTCCCATGGATTTCAACGGTGGTGCTGCGCAGCCGGAAGCATCTCCCCCACCAGTCACCGAGAAATCGTCGCTATCCCCGCAACCCGATTCACGTCGCCAGGGCGGTGATCAGCCATCAGCACCCCAGGTCAGCTCGAACGAGGAACGCGCGGAGACCCAAATGTTGTTCTCCTCGTTTGATCAAGGTCCTTTAACCGACCAGCCCGTGTTCATCCCTGATGACTCTGTGACGACCTCCGAGTCAGTCTCCCCGATCGAGTCCGGCCCCGTCGTTGAGAAGGAAATTGATGTTGTGTCGGCGGACGGGGCAGCCTCTCCTGCATCTCCTATGGAGGCTATTCCCGTGCAGGATCGGTGGGCTCAAATCAGGAAGAATGCTGCTGAGAGGGCAAAGGTTGTACCAAAAGCATCTGATGAATACACAAGGAGCGACGCAAGGGGTAGCATTGATGATGGGGAGACAAGTGGTGAAGAGAGTATGTTCCCATCGCTATAATATATTGAAGTATCACAACTAAATATTTGCAGCAATCGAATCTCGGGTCGCTAGAATCAAGGCACGTGTTGCCGAACTCACCGGAAGCATTGATACTACCACTCGAGTTTAATTTCGGGATATTTAGTACGATTTTGTGACCCGGGTTTGCCATTGCAATAATGATTTGTCCCCTTGTGGCCAATGTTGCTCTAATACAGTCACCTCAACTACAAGCACTCACAGATGCGCTGGAATATATCAGCGATGCTGTGTTCCCTTTTTTTCACTCATCTTTGGAGCGCATAAGCTAAACGGTAATAACCATTCCCTGGGCAACCGCTCATCACACATCCCATTCCACACTCACTCCAATAATCTCGTCACATTTCCTTGCTATCTCCTTTCTCTTTCTTTCTTTAACCTTCTTTTCTTTTCCTTATTTTTTTTTTGTGGTAAGCGCTCCATTTCCCTATACACACGATTCATAGTTTTGAAGACGTGATTTAATCTTTCGTTGAATTTCGTATCGTGTTTTCCTAATTAATGCTTCTCTTGATCTACTAAAAAAAATTGCCGCTGGCTACTTGTATTCTTTTTGTCCAAATTTTTTACCCACTTCCACCTACTTATCGAGAAATATGATACCACTGTAAAGCAACCAAGTCCTACACCGCCATTTTATCATTCCCTAGTTTTCCCAACCGCCATCACCCCCATAGTTAATTTTCTGTGTCGGCTCCAATTTTTTCCTCCTTCTCATCCGTCGAATCACGGAGAATAAGCTCGCTAGTTGGAGCCTTTTTTTATCCTGATACCCATTCAAATAGCAAGAATGCATAACCGATTGCGAACGCTTTGAAGTTCAGAGCTCCGAGTGACCGAACATGCATGAGCTTCGACCATAAAGCTTGACGGATGTGGGGTAGCCATCGCTTAATCTACCCCCACCTGTGGTAGTCTGCACTGCTCGAGGAGCCCTATATTTACCCGTTTACTGTATCTATCGTGTCATGCTGTATGTATTTACATATACATACCGTACTCTCTATAGCCATCGCATGACCGGACCGGAATCTCATCCACCTTTACGATACTACAAAGCGTCAAAAAGTCCCCATCGCCCCCACTTTCCGTGCCTGCAGTGGAAACCGTTAGTGCACCGACAGTCTACCAACAACCCCACGAGCACTTGTAGAGCAACAGCATGATACGGTATCAGTGAGTTCAAACGCACTCCCGACCCACCCACAGCCCCCAAGCCCGAACGCGGTATCGTGCGGGTAATACTCATTCTCGTGCCCCCCTCCCCGCACCCACCCCCGCGCCAGGTTCGCAGAACCGACACCCGATTTGGGATACCGGCACCGTAACCAGTCTAACTGCACTGTACTGCACCACCATGGATTCGTGAACCGCCACGATGTTGTGAGCTTTTTTGGAGGGCCGTTGTGTGACTCGTGCTGTACTCGAGTACTGTCCAGCACAGGACAGAGCGAGTGCCGAGCATGACAAAAAAAGTAGTGGTATAATAGCACTATTTTATGCCTGATCCTCGTGCGGTATTAGACCTATGAAATGATGAATACCGGTACCCGACCGATATCATAGAAGTTTTTTTTGGTTTTTCGCAATTCACGGATTGAATGCCTTGCTCGGGCTGCTTTGGCCCCCCTCCCCCACGACGAGCATGTCACTCCCCGCTGGATGGCAGCACAGTTCCGGTACTGTACGAGTGCTCTACCAGGAGTGTACGAGTACTCTAGACTACCTCGAGCCAGAGGTTTTTAAACGGCTTGAGAGCTACTCGTGTATACTCTCTACATACGGGTCCGCGGTGGCCATTTCTATTCCGAATCGGGTACCAATACTTTGCACGGAGACACGATTATCTCCTCGTATCAATCAGTACGGTACCCTCGCGCACTGCAACTCATAACGTTACAAGAACAAAGTTCCAAAGCACCCCACCACTGCGCCTTACCCAAGCTCCTCGTATAAGTGTAGCACACGAGTTAGAAAAGAAATAGAAATAGAAATTCCCCCCCGCCCCGCCTCAACTCCTTCAACGGTCAAATTCCACCCATCCTTGCACCATCACCATCACCACCACCACCCCCCAACCCCCGATGCCCCAAACCCCCATCCTAATCTCAATTAGCGGCGGTGAGGCCGCCGGCAAAAAAGCCGTTCAAGCGGGACTAAAGTCCCGACTACTATCCTTGAATAGCGGACTCAAGATATTAACACTGCAGATGGCGGACTACGCCCTCCCACACTCCCCGCCCCTGGCGGGTGCGGAAGGGGTGAAAGGGTTCGATCTGGAACGGTTAGCGGGAGAATTAGAGGGTATCGTTAGCGGGGAAGCGGATGCGGATGTGGTCATTGTGGAGGGACGGTACATGCTTTGTTCTCAGCGGTTGGTGAGGGTTGCCAGTGTAAAGGTTTGTTGTGACTTCCGATCTACAATCATGAATGAAGGGAGCGCGCGTGCGGGGGGGGGGGAGAGGCTGATAGGGGATAGATATTCGTCGACTGCGATCCGGACGTTAGGCTTTCGCGGAAGGGTTCTCACTCCACTTACACTGACTTCCTACTGTGTGATTGCCCGGCTGATTTGGTGTAGTTATCCGTGAGTCGGGAACGCAATCCCTTGATCGCATTCTTGACGAGTACGTTCGCTATAGCAAGCCTGCTTTTGAGCAGGCCATTCTCCCCACAAAGCCTATTTCGGATATCATCCTCCCCGCAGGTGGGGAGGGGCCTGGGCTCGACCTTATCGCCCATGGCGTCATGGACGACATCAAGCGGAGGAGGGGCCGGCAAAGTTTGCCCGGGATACTGGCCAGTGTTTCGCACTCGCAGTTGCCGTTGACGTTGAGTGAGGTGGATTTGACAACGGGAGCGCCGAGTTATTATCAAACTGTGTAATGGGGAAATAGATGTTTGGCTCTTCGTTAGTTTGCGGATGTAGTCGTCAATTTATAGGTATTTGGCTCCTGTGCTCAAATTGATGATATGGTACAGTACTGTGGCCGCGACATTGTGTAGTAATACATCCCAAATATGAGGTTTGTATAAACTTTTCATAATTGCTCATGACAAAGAAGATTGCGAAGGTGGAAAATAGAAAAAGTGAAAAAAGCAGAACAAAAGTGGAAATTTTTTTCGTTTCTCGGGGCCCCTCTATGACCCAACGCTCCCCAATTAATCAATCAGTCCGTTCGGTCCTTCCCCTCAACACTACCCTTTCCGCTCCCATTACTCCCACTATTCTGTCTCGACCGCTTGATCTTCTCCCGGAGAAGCTGTTCGCGTAGCTGGTTCTCTCGTTGCTGAAGCGTCAACTGATGCCTCTGGTCATTATTTCGCACCTGGAGTTTCAATAATTGAGCCATCACCCACCTCCTTGTCCCTCCCACCCTCTTTCTCCACCACTCTGGTAGTACTGGAGGCGATGGTAGTAGAACTCTTCGCTTGTCTGTCCCGGGTGCGCGGGGGCGAACCCCGACGATTCCTATTATTCTTGCTATCATCGATGTCGGAAGACTGTGATCGCCTTCTCTTGGATGCGCGGGCATCTCTCCCGGACGGCTCCTCCGATTCACGACGACGGCGACGCCAACTATCTGTTTCCTCAGCATAACCCCTCGAAGGCCGCTTCGCTCTCCGATCCACACGATCTCTTGAAACGGTGCGTTCCCTCCTGCTTCCTCTCTTGGGGGGAGGTGACCTCGACGGGGACTCAGTAGACGCATAGGAAGACCTAGACGAGGAAGAACGGGAAGATACGCTCCTCCACCTCCTATCCCGGTGATTTCTCCGGCCTCTTTCTGCTCTGCTGTAATCCGGAGTGTGGGACCGATGCCGCTGGTAATGATGCTGCCGCTCACGGCTCCTGCGCGTATCCGGGGAACTTGAGTAGCGCGGGGAAGGACGTCTAGCACGGTACTCGTCACGTGCGCCGCGAAACCGCGATCGAGATCCCGAGCGGGAACGACCATATCTGCTGTAGCCCCTGTCTTCACCGTTGTCAAAATCACGTCGATTGTAACCTCTGCGTGACGGAATGTACGTGTCTGTCTCTCCGCCCCTGAACCTATCCCCTCCAGCTCCTCCGCGGCGTCCCCCGCCCCGTTGATGCGGGGGGCGTCTTTCCCTTCGGTCTGACCTGTCCGGAGAACGGCGGCGGGTGCTGAGAGGTCGGGAACGTGCAACGTAGTTATCTCCTCCTCCTCCTCCATCCCGGGTATCCTTCGATGACGATGATGCTCCCACCGCCGGTTGCGTGGCTCTACGACGGGTATCCCGTTCACGTTCGCGTTCACGGACGTTAGCAATCTCGCGTTCTCGAGCCTCCTCCTCCTCACGCTTGCGACGTTGTTGCTCTGTACGTTCTTCTACCACAGCCTACACCACCATTATCAGCAATCCCATCTCCACAGCGCTAAGAAGAAAAAAAAACCAGTACCTTCTCGCGACGCAATTCCTCCTTCTTCTTCTCCAACATCTCCATCGGCACGCCCTGCGGATTTGACTGAGCACTTAACAGAAGCCCCCAGAGTTGCTTACAGAATGCAGGAGTATCCTTCTCCAGGAACCCCGTGAGATTAATCTGTATCTTCTTCGGATCAGGCTGTCACCACCAAGACCACCACATTAGCCACCTTTGCGCAAACGACAGGTTCAGCAGAGAAATCAAGAAGGAAAGAAAGAAAGGGCTAACGAACAATCCTCTCTTCCTCCAGAAGTGAGTATACAAAATCAATAACGACATCATCCTCACTCCCTAATATCTCTATAACCTTGCGGGAAATCCACCTTAAGAGAAAGAAAAAACATTTACATTAGCAAAATCGCATCTCACAACCTCTCTCTTCCTTCCAATGAGTGTTAAAAAATCAATAATTAAATAATTAGAGGAGGACTCACTGCTTCATAACCTCCAAGTTTACTTTCTCCATATCGACCTTTTTGGAGTACTCCGGTGGGAACTTGGTGCCCCTCAAGATCTTTGCGTCCATGATGAAGTTACTTTTTTTTTCTTCTTTCGCCTGTGCTCGTTGAAGGATTGACGTGACGGGATGGGGGGTTGATCGATTGCGGCAGGGTGCGGTTGGTTGGACGTGGAAAGGAAGGAAGGTGTGGTAAGCAAAGTCGGACGGAGGTTGAGGACGGAAGTGGCAAAAGGGCTAAACTACTAGACTATCATACTATGGGTTGCCAAGGTTCGGGGTTTGCGATACGGGAAGGGGGCTCACTATCTGATTAGATGCTGCACGAGGTGTCACTCACTTTTCATCTCCCTTGCTCCTCTTCTAATGAAAAGTAGCATCCACCGATCCACTCGCGAAACGGCGCAAAGTCAACTACGGTAACTCCCCCCCACTACACACACACAGATATTCACACACATAAACTATACATACACCGCAAACCAAAACCGTAAACATTTAACCAAGAACCGCACCAATACAGCACCCAAAACCGAGTGATATCAACAACATCCACCTATCCATCCCAAAACTCCGAGAAGAGGTGAAAGAAGACGGCCTTGAACATATGAGACTACTGTAGACCGTACCAAATCCCATCTGGAAGGGAAAAAAACAAGAAAAAACAAGAAAAAAACATCCCAACACTATACCATACACCATCACCCCCGGATTGAATTGGATCACCACCGAAAAACGAAAAAAAAAGAAGAAAGAAACGAGTGATATTCCCCGCATGCAAATCTCACAACCTTAATAGATGGGACTTGGAGAAAATCACCCTTGCATGTATCATAACATAGAGGTTCCGTATACTGTACCGTGCTGTACTATCCCGCCAGCTGATCCCGTCGCATCCATTCTATCATTTCGGTTCGTGTCGGATGCGCATAGATAGATATGACCCCCCCCCCCCCCCCCCCCCCACTTCTCCCTCTACCTGAGAACTCTCCTTCCCTCTTGCACCCCCGGGATCATATCTACTCCACGGCTGCACTACCGGTGCTGTGCTATACGGTTGATATATAATGGCCATCAGAGACTCACAGCGTATAACGGATCAAGCCAGGCTGACCGGACCGGACCAAATCAGACAGGAAAAACGGGAAGGGCAAGGATAGCATACCGGTAGCATATCACTGAGTGGGTTTGTGCCGCATCCTGCCAGGTCCCGAGTCCAAGCTCGACTCGTCTTTTCCTGCCGTGTCCCCCGCTCGGGCAAGCATATGATAGCCTGTCATACTCTATTGTTTCATAGCACGCATGGCATACCGAGAGGCCATGAGTCTTATCATCTTCATCGGCTGATTGGTTGGTTAACCCCTTCCCGCTCCAGGGTGTTGATCGAGAGGTTGGCGCTAGATTAGCTCCGGACTACGGCGGTGGAAGTTGGTTACATAGCATTTGTAAGCTGGTCGACATGCGGGAATCCTTGATGTTGCCGTGGCTGGACCGATGGACCCGAGGGCGGATCTCTCTTTCTAGACTTCGTATCAATCATAGCACTAGCACCGGTACTTGACACGGTTAAAGACATAGATAGGGCGTGCGGTTGCGTATCATTCACCGCAATGCACTGTATTCAGGGTAGTTCAATATCTAGTTACAGGTGTAAGACACAATCCATAATGTTAACCCCAATCCTCGTCTACCGTACGTTCTAAAAATTTATACTGAATCGCGAAAGGGAACAGAAATATGAAAGATGCCCAGCCGTAAAGAAAAGATAATCCAAAGAGCCAAGTAAAACACGAGAAAAAAAATAAGGAGAAAAATTACCAACCCCCCCTTTCCCCACACTAGTTCTTGTCTCAATCGAAAATCCGGGAGAACATTGTCGTCCAAAATCAATACGAAACTATGTACCTGTGGGATTTTTTATTTTTATTGGCCATGCCGCGGAACACCAGAACTCAAAGACCCAATTAAGACACAAACACCAGGGAATTACAGACAGACCGACTTGACTCAGCCAACCTTAAATCATAGGATGAGTTTTGAACTGTGGGGCAATGCCGTTAACTTCACTCTTTTTTGTTTCGACACTAAAGATACGACGAAGGTTCTACAAATTAGTAACTTAGGACAGTCCAAACTCCAAAACATGACTGGATGACTTTGAAATCAGGGCCTTACATGGGTTCTGCGGCTTCCTCCTCCTCCTCCTCCTCTGCCAATAGCCGCTCGGCCTCAAGAGCTGCAATGCATCCGGATCCTTATCGGAAGTGGTGAGCCTGAAGCACATGAAAGAATGAGACCTAAAGCAATTGGGATACATACCCGCGCTGGTAATTGCCTGTCTGTAACGCTTATCCTGAACGTCACCCGCGGCGAAAACACCCTTAACGCTAGTATATGAGGTTCCAGGCTTGGTAATGATGTATCCGTCTTCATCGCACTCAATCTGTCCTTTGATAAGAGCAGTAGCGGGCTCATGTCCAACAGCGTAAAACAAGCCGCTTGCCGAGAGGTCGCGGATTTCACCAGTAACAACATTTTTAATAGCAAGTGAGTGCAAAAGTTTGCCATCCCCCTTTGCCTCTGTCGCTACCGTGTTGTAAAGGATCTCGACCTTGGGATGAGCACTGAGTCTCTTGGCCATGATGTTGGAGGCACGTAGTTTGTCCTTTCGCACAAGGACGGTAACCTTGCTTCCATACTTTGTCAGGAAAATGGCCTCCTCAGCGGCCGAGTCCCCACCACCGATAACAGCCAACGGTTTATTCCTGAATATGGGTACAGCTCCGTCACACACGGCACAAGCACTAATGCCATTTTGCCAATATGTGTCTTCTCCAGGAAGGTGTAATCTCCTGGCCGAGGCTCCAGTAGCGAAAATCAGGGCATCGGCTGTATTCGGAGCTTCCTCCTCACAATATTCAAGCCAATATTTGAATGGCCGTTTCGACAGGTCAACCTTTGAAACAGTCTCCGTGACTATCGTTGTTCCAAATCGTTCACTTTGTTCCCTCATAGCATCCTATCCAAATAGCTCCGAGTTAGTTGTCACGTCGTCGGGGGAGAAGCCGGAAGGACATCTCCGTGTTGACAAGACCAGACGCGTGAAACCTACCATAAGCTTTTGGCCACCAATACCGTTAGGAAAGCCTGGATAATTTTCGACGTCTGTGGTTGTCGTTAACTGTCCACCGGGCGCAATTCCATTCGCAAGCATCCCTTCGTACATGACAGCTGTATCAAGAGCGCGATGTCAGCCAGGCCGGCCCACCCTGCAAGTTAGTGGAGGCCGCTACGAACGTTTCAATTCTGCACGAGCCAGGTATACCGCGGCGGTATGGGCGGCCGGGCCGGACCTGGATCAATGAGGGATGAGGTTAGCGGGGGGAGGGTTAATCTCATAATGGTGGGGTAATCGGTCAATTCGTACCCAATGACTGTGAAGAGGGCAAAATAGGTTAGCACGTGCAGACAGGAGAAACCCGTGGGAAAGATAACGAGCGGAATGAAAAAGGAAGAATAAAAAACTCACTGACTACTTTACTGTGCATGGCACGGCTTGTTTGAAGAACAAGGTTTGAAGCTTGGTGCTTTTTGTTAATCGAGGCAGCGGCAAAGAGAGGGATGATCGACGAGGAGAATGGGGGAAATCTGATGAAGCGGGAGGAAAACGTGGTGGACGAGTTGACCTTGACGGATTAAATGTCGACAGAAGAAGTATGGAAGGGGAAATATTGAAAGGGCCAACCCTTCTTATATTATAAAGGCCAAAGCTGGAGGAGAGGAGAGAACAAATTCAAGAAGAGGCGGAGAAGGGTGCTGCTGAGTGATGGAAGGTTGCGGGCTGGATCGAGACTCAGAGATAGAGAAGGAAGGGTGAGGAAGGTGGAAGGAAGGAAAGAGGAAAGAATGAAGGGGAAGGAGGGAAGGAGGGAAGGAGGGAAAGGTAGGGTAAAGTTTGTTGAGGGTAGCGTAAGCTAGTCGTACTCGCACTCAAGGTGTACGAGTCGCAAGAAGACAGTTTAGGGATACGGGCTGAGGAATACGGCTGGTCGGGGGGCCAGCAGCGTTCCGATGCTTGTCTCGCGCTCTGGCTGGCTTTCTGGTGGGGAAGGTGGGAAGGGATGGAGAAGGTAGGTGAGGGGGTGGTGGACTAAGGGGGGAACGCTGGACGGATAGATTTCACTTGGAAGGAGAGGAGCCGTATGGATACCGCTAAGAGGCAAGGGAGAGAAAAATGGAAGACACGTACCGGTACAGTACTGTACGAAAGTAGTTGCCGGTATATAAACTGGTATTGCACAAAAAGGATCGCGCTTTGCAAAACACTCGAAAAACTGAACGATTGGGAGAAGAAGAAAACTCGGATGCCCTGGGCAGCCCGAGCCATCGTAAAAAGAAAACTGCATCCAACAAGGACTCTCCTTTGGGTAATCCATTGACGATCGGGACGCTTCTAGACCTCTTCTTGCTGATAAAGCCAACAAAATGCGGGTGCCCTCATAAAGCTCCTGGAAAGTGTCTTATGGGAACTATCTAAGACACTCGAGTTTCTTCTTTCGAGTTCGTTCCACTCCTCAAGTGTTTTGCAATAATGCGCGGAGGGAAAAAAAGAGGATATACTCGAGTACTGTAAGGGCTGCGGAGTCGGATTCGGCGCGCTGGCGCAATATTTCAGGTGTCTGGAGAGTGCCTGCGTTTACAGCGATTGTCTAGTTCTAGCTCTGGAAAGGCAAGGATTCGCCCTTTGTATATCGAATGGCCCACTGGCACCATTATACCTGGTACCGGTATCCCTTTGACCTCTAGGGTCCGATTCTAGTCTTAAACGCCACCTACCGGCCGATGGGATACGGTAGGGGAGAGGCTCGAAGTAATGATCGCTGAACTGGTGAAACGGTCATTTTACAGCGCGCAACAGCCTGATCCTAACGTTCATGCATGCGGCACGCTGAGCTATCAGGATTCCATGGCAGCGCACTACAAGTAGTACTGACCGGTCCACCGCCGCAGGCTACAGCGATGGCCTGCTCACATGCCAACTCGCCGAGGCGCCGCGTCGGGCGGCGGCTTAGAGTTGGGAGTTGTAAGTGAGGGGTCGAGTGTGGTCTGGAGTTTCTCTGATACCGGTAGATAAGTTACTCCCGCCTCCTCTCACCTCTGTCTATAAGGCATGATACCTAAATTAAGTCGAGGTCGGTGTTGACTATGAAGAACGAATACCGTACCGTACCACGGAATCACAAAACGTGATAACCGAGAGCGTCTGCAATACCGGTACTGTGACCAATCAAACGATCACGATTCCAGTCTCTGGCTGTACTAAGTACGGTATAGGGTCTCGAGTGGGGTGAATTACTGTACCGTACTGTACTAGTACTATGATAGTACGTATAAAGTATGAAATACCTAAGTGCGTGCGCCGCCGGAGAGAGGAGCCAAAGCGGCAGCATAACACGCGATTGTTACTCGAGTACCGTACATGGTGAACGAGCAGAACTGATGAAAGGTCCGAAAAAACCATTTCGAATGCCGGTAATCTACGAACGACTGGTATGAGCGTCCCTTTCATCCCGTCATCCCCTTTCGTGGGCGGAAGTGAAGCACTTGGCTACCCAAACATTGCAAAAAACAACAAACGATTGGTTGGGCTTTCTTTTTCTATTTCTCGGTGGTTGGGTGCCGTGCAAAAAAGGAAGGGAGGAAGGAAGAAAAAGAAAAGAAAACTCCTTTCCTCTGTGTTCCCATCGCTGGTTCCTGCTTACAAAGTAAATGGTACCCCGCGAGATCCAGGCCCGTCCACAGCAGCGGCAGCGATAGCGAAAGGCTTTGTTGATATCATGATACCGGCGCGGTATTGAATCCCGGGGTTAAGTTACATGTGGGGGCGCATTATGGCACGAGTATTGGGGGCAGCTGGCAGCAGCCGGGGCCTGGCACGGTTGACCGAAGGCCAATGGTTGGGTGTACCGGTACAGTACAGTGCTATAAAGTTGAGTGGGGTTTTGTACGGAGCACGGTACCGGTACAAACTCAAGCACCATGCTGGCGCAATACGGTAGTCTAGTACGGTACAGTACTGTACCCGTAATCACTTTTGTTGCGGGTGGTGGTTTCCCTTACCGTATTCTATCGTACTCGTACAAGGCGTTTGGCTCCAACTCGGTCGGCCACACGAGGCGCCGCGCGAATGCCGTGCTTGCGAAACCCCCCCTTTATCGTACCGTATCATACACAACCCCTTCGTGCTGTGCTGTACCAAAAGACCCCACCCCACGATCTCCCTGGCACGCGGGGCCTACCGACACCGACAACAATGTTATATATATACTAGTATAGCGCCATAATTTAAGGTATCGCCGCAGCCTGCTACCCTACCGTAGCTCTCCGGGGAGGGGCTCCGCCGCCGGTGCGTGTCCCTATTCCACTATAGCCTATAGCAGCCGCAAGTGATGGCAAGTGCCCTTGGTTTATGTCGTTGTGTTCCATTTATTCGTGTATTATCACAATTGATAGTCGACCTGGAAGCTATTATGCAGCATGTTCTTTGCTCACCCTGTATTACTATGATATCGTTACTACCGGTATGATATGAGCAGTAGTGATATATCGTACTCTGCCTCCATGCCCTACCGGTAGTTTATCCGTGAGCCCGCAATACCCTTTTTCCTTCTCCACATCCTGTTTGCTTTGTTTGCTTTCTCCTCTGTCTTTGCGTTTGGCCCATACTTCCCTCCTTTTTTGGTTTAGCTTTCCTGATGGTAGCCACAGTATCCGTTCCAGCAGGTTAATTTTCTATAGGAACAGGGGGTAGGATTTCCCAAGATCTCATGTGAACCCAGAAATCCCCTTTCCTGGTTCAATGGGTGATTTCTGTGAGGAATTGGAGGAGAAAAAGACTCGTCCGGTTCAGTGGGATCCGGGATAGCGGGATGCGGGAGCACTGTGTAGTAACTTACGACATGACCTCGTAGGCTGCTCATACGCTTTGGAAAGGAAGGTTCAATTCATCCAATAGTTTTACCGTACATTTTCTTCTAAGACTGATATTACCGTGGCCTTTGCAGTATGATATCGTCTAGTCGAGCTCTACCTCTCTTTCGGTCGGTTTGCGAGCATCGGCCAGTGCCAATGCTCTTCCGTCCAATCCTCTCTTCTCCCGGTATTCGTATGCTCGAGTATGATAGGTAAATCGTTTTCTAGTTGGGTTTTCATGCATAGTTCTTTAGCCCATCCCTCCCCCTCACGCCCGCAATGTTCCACCGGGATTTCTTTCCAAGGAGTCATCTTCGGATGGGAATTTTGGTAGAGACAGGTTCTAAGCCCGGGCATGAAAAATGTACTGTACATCCCGTAACGAACAAACGGTCAAACTCATAAACATACATGGTAAGTGTTCACAAAAGCAGAATAGGTGCGCAGGTCCCAAAACACTAACAGCACCGGCACAAGTACCCCTCCTCTAATTAATGGTTATCTCCACTAAGGAGCTTAGCTCTGTCTCCTACTCTCGGACCCTCATCAATTCCTAGGGCTTCGTCGTCATCATAAGACCCTTCATCGCCATCGTACTCTTTCTCACTGGGGGTGTCCTCGTCATCATCTGAAGCCCCAAATGCATCATATAGATCCCTGGCCTTTCGTCTGCCGCCCACAGAAGCCTTTCTGCCAGCGCCTGCTGCGCCGTCATCCAGGTCATCCTCGTTATTGAGGGCCTCAAACTCATAATCCATCCCCTGTTTTTTGGCTCTCTTCTTTTGGATGAAAAGATAGGCAACAAGAGCCCCAACGAATAGAATTATCACCGCAAATGCCCCGTAGATCCAAACCCGGGTCTTGGCTGACACGCCAAAGCTGGGGAAAAAGGAAGGAAGGAAATCTGATTCTTCTGCTCCCTGATCCCCCGGTGGAGCTGTTGATGTGGAAGTAACTATGGCTCCGGTGGTTGTCCCTTTCAAATAGTCAGCCATCATTTACCAAGAACAAAGAATAACCCGTGGGCTGACTCACCAGTTTCTAGGTAGGTTGGGGTGGCGGTATCGTCCGGTTTCTCGTTGACAGGTCGATCAGCGTGATCGGAAGGATTTTCCGTCACCTTTGAAGGATTTGCCGTTGAGGTCATGCTTGGTAACTCGGTTGTTGAGGCCTGAGCAGTGGTTGTGATAGGATCAGTGCCCAGATTATTATCCCCGTCACCACCAGGGAGTGGTAAAGGTTTGGCTTTATCCGCATCAATAGCCTCACCCCAGAGTATAAGGCTCCAATCGATAAGAGATCCAGTCTGCCCGTTAACAACCGTATCTTTTATAATAACTGTCCACGTGCCTGCTGCTTCCTCCCCCCTATGTGCGGGTTGGCCTTAGCTTGAGCAGAGATATATAGCGGGGGAGCCATACCAGTGTTTAACACTCATAAATGTCCAATTGTTGTATCCGTTTTTATTAGTATCCGGCTTTCTGGTAGTTGCAATGTGGCTAACGATGCCTTTCGGGGAGATCAGGTCTACACTCATATCGCCTCTCTGGCCATGGACAGCATTCATGGTCACAGTTACATGCTCTAGTCGACCGAGGTTCGCATTTCTTGCCTCTTCCGCAGTGACCTCGATATGAGTCTGGAGCCCGTGAGTGCCCTCTGGGATGGCTGCCCCGACAGCAACAACTGGTGAATTGTACCATGCCTGGGGTTTCACAAGTTCATGATCTTTGGCAGCACGAACAATTGCCCAAGCATCGATTTTTCCATAACCATACTTGTGATTGAACATTTTGCCGATTGCTGTCCGCTTCCAGTCAGGATCCTCCTCGTTGATGGGGACTGCCGTGTTGAGGGCAAGATACTGCATGTCACGCCAAGTAAGGTCAGGCCGTACCGATAGCACTAAAGCAAAGATTCCCGCAGCTAGTGGGGCAGCCGCGGAGGTTCCGCCATGGCCATTGAAGCATTGGTTCAATCCTACATCGGTGGTGTGCTAGAAGGCAGTCGTCACATGTTAGTCTCATCTTTTGCGCTAAACCCAGGAATTTCGCATACAATCGCATCCCCGCTACCACTGCTATATGTAACAACCATATTCGCTGAGCACTCTTCCGAGTAGTATGGATGATTGCCCATTCTATCAAGAGCTCCGATCGTAATGCTGTAGATACTGTTTGTGTAACCATCGAAATTGCAGTTGTCTTCGTACGTTGCCCCGTTTCCAGAGGCGAAAACAAATATTGAGCCCTTTCCATTTCGGCCCTCTTGAACTCCTTTAACCATGGCCCGTTTGATGAGAATCCCCGGAGCGTCCATGGCTTGACCATCATCTGGCGGTCCCCAGCTGCAAGAATAAATCTGGTTCTCCTGATACGCATAATTCAGCGCTATGGCCTCGTCGGCATCTGATATAGGCTTCGACAGCATTCGTATCCCAGCTACCTTCGCCTCATAGGCGACACCCACTCCACAGATGTCGTTCCTCACGGCTGCAATTTCACCAGCACATCGGGTGCCATGACGGTCGTCGGACAAACGTGGTTTGGGCTGAGGGGCATGGTCATTGAAGTCGTAGGAGCCTGCTGCAAACTTTATAGAGCATAAGCATCATAACCCCTCGATATAAATAGCCTCAGTGGCAGTTACCCACATAGTTTGCTGCCAGATCTTCACTGTCCATATCGAGACCATCGTCCACGATAGCGACAGTCGTATTCTCTCCGGTTATGCCTGTGTGGAAATAAGATTCAAACCCCGGATATGTGAGCTAGGGGTGCATAAGCAAACCTTCCAACCATAGACCGGTAACATTAATGTCGTGATGGCGTTCCGTTGGGTTGAACTAAGGAAACGGGCGGTGCATTAGCCATTGGATAAGCAAATTGCCGGAGAAGTAGCCCACCAGATGCCATTGCTCGTGGAATATGGGGTCCCGTATTTCAAGACGTTGCATGATCGACTGAAGCTCCACCATCCCCGTATTGCCCGTAGTGGCAGGGGGGTCGAACCCTTGCGCCTCCCGCCGCGCGGCCAGTGGAGGCACCCGCTTCACAAGTTTCTTCAGTCTTTGTTTCTCTGCGAACAAGATCCCATCGGACAGATCCCGCTTCACAATGCTCGCGGATGTCACAGACCGCTTTTTCCGCCGAAGCCTATCTATATGAATGGCGACAATATCTTCTTTGGTGGTTGGGGTTGAAAAGAGATGATGGTCGCTGAGTTCGCCAATAACACCTTCGTGCGTTAAGCCGAGTTGCTGTGCTACGATTTCTGGCGAAACGTCCGGTGTCAAGTGCAGCGCGTAGTAATCCCGCGAGTCATAGTCTCGAGGCCGTAGCAAGGGGGGTGATCTGGCGGAGACGGGATGGAAAGGTATGACTTGTAGTATAGCTAGCCATAAAGGAGCGGAGCCGAAGCGCATCACGAAGTGGAAATACGAGCCAAGGGAGCTCACCGCTGTGGAGGAGAGTGGAGTGCTGAGGAGGGTGAGGAATGTGATGATGTGTGGGTTGTTCCTCCGGGGTTGAAGTATTCATGGAGGTTGGGGGAGTTTATAGGGGAGAGAGGTTGTGGTGACAGATCTAGGAGAAAAAGGAAGAGCTAGGCTGGCTGGCTGGTGCCTGTGCCTTGGTGCTCCCCGACAGGGTTCTAAGCTAAATAAAGGGCCTGGGGCTGTGGGCCTTTTTGACTCTTTGTTCACACCTGGCCTACCGTATCATATCATACCAAAATGTGGGAGGAAAGGTTGATTAGTTATCAACTTACCGTATTGCAACTCGCCACACAACACACAGTTAAGAAACAATTCAAATACTGGCAGAGCGATGGTAGTACAGTACAGTACGGTAATGGTCGGAAACCATTATATTACATCGATACTGGGGACCCCGGGCTTTGTTTTCTACAGATGGAATTGCATTCGCTCGCTTGGAGCATTATTGTAAAATACCATGAAACAATGTGCCGTATGATGCGGTACCGATTAAAACGCAATCATCAATCCTTCACATCGTCGCTCTGCCAGCAGGGTCAGACACTCCTGTCCCTTGTGCACAGTGGGTGAGTGGATTCAGTTTGTGGCTTGTGAGATAAGGCGCCGCATCGTAGGTTTCTTCTCCTGCGAGGAGGAGTTGAAGATCTCTAAAGATTACAGGAACAGCTACTATACCGGCAGTATCCGCACCGCCGGAGGGCCAGCACCGACACTGCACATCGCGGGTGCTCAGTTTGACCATAACGTTACCGGTATCACAGAGCTGGCCCTCCATCAAAAGCACATCAGACCCGAGCCACTGAAGGTAGTTTATTCCCCTCGGCGAAGAAAGGAAGGTTATGCGTGGCGTGGGGAGTCTCGCAGCTATCTTACCTGGACCTGTCGAGGCAGCCCGGAGCCGCCATGCTGGTAACTCAACGTCGGAAACCCATGGACCCATGCGGTCCAAGCTGTAATTATCGCACGTCGCAATCTTCCCCTCCCAGGAAACGACTGGATAAGAACTTTTCCGGGAACGACATGCATGTACAGTATTGGGATTGTTAAATCTGACACTGCGGTATCTGGCTCCTTTCTCCGATCATGTACGAGTATTCCGAATGAGGTAGAGAAGCGGACTCGCACCCATCCCTTCACATATAATCATTCGTTATCGAACACACATATGTTGTCCGTTGTAATGTGCTGTATAATCACAAGCCCTTTGGAGGTTGGCCGATAATAATTCGCAAGCGGGAGTGGCAATTCTAACAGCCCCATTCTGTGACTTCTGGTGCGTTGAGACCCAAGTTAAATGACATTCCTGCACCCCCGTGAAGAAAGTTTCGGGAAATTTTGCATCGCAACCATCACAAACATCATTATTCCAACTGATCAAAAACAACCAATAACTACAACCCAATCAATGGCACCAAAACAGCAACCAAGACTGACACATACAAGTACAGAAGAGCATGTTGAGGTCATTAAGAAGTATGCTGAAGAAAAACCATATCATGAAATTACAAGTAAAGCTGGCATTTCCATATCAGCTGCTCATTAGATTGCAACTGCCCTTAAGAAAGAAAAGAAAATTCACCATGCATGACACTAGGGAGGACCAAAAAAGCTTTGAGAGTGGGAGAAGTGATATATCCATTGTAATGACCTTATAATAGTAAGTTATGGTAACGTGGATCTATACCTATACATGCAAGGAAGAGGACAGGTAGAAGAACCAGGTAGGCATGTTAAAAACATATCCTGGAAGATATCCAGTAGTCTAGGTGTCTCTATGAGTGAAAGGTACTTATGAAATAGGTATACCTAAGTAGTAGTGGTAGTATGAGTATAGCTGACTCTGGCTTAAGAAGAGGTTGAGTAGGAACTGGATAAAGTCACCCTGTCTGCATCAGCAAAAATGAAAGCTTGCGTCCTGTGCGTCCTGTGCCTCTGACGCACCAGATGCACAGGACGCAAACCGTTAATCAGAATGGAAGACGGCAGGTACCGAACCTCAGGACGCAAGGGTCCTTGGCGCCAGAACTCAGGACGCAGCCAGAACGCAAGCGACCCTTGGTGCCACCACTCAGGATGCAGCCAGAATGCAAGCGAGCCTTGGTGGCAGAACTCAGGAGGCAGCCAGAATGCAAGCAAGCACTACTGCAATACTAGAATTAGACCTTGTGACCCAGGTCACAAATGTAGATAAATAGTATTTCTCATCATATTCAAGTCGGTTCTATAATACATGGTACGGAAAGAAAGCGCCCCTCCCCCCTCCCAACCCTTTGCTATGAATCCGGCCCAAACCACCTTCCGGACAGGAGATAGCTG